ATCCCGAGAGGGACTCGAACTTGGGTTTTTAGCTTAGTTTTGATAGCCTACTCAAAGACGAAAATAAGTAACTTATTCGAATGCAATAGCAAATTTAACTTAGCTTCGTAGACGATTCCAGCACATAAATGTGATATCGTAAAGGCCTAGGCCTACTTGAAATTCACTTTGCACGATGACTCAATGGACCTTTGCGGCAGTTGAGTCGAGTGTTAACGTGACCACGATACTCACGACCGGTTATCGAATACCGTCGAGGGTGTTGAGGTTGGAACTGTAGTACAATCTAGCTGGGACGTGAATGCATTTTGCAATGCGAATACAGGTGCAATTCAATGGTATCATGAGGCCTACTCATTTCTTTCTGGGAAGGAGCAACTTTCACTCCTTAGTTCACCTTAACCGAGCTAAGCTACTCATTTTTAATGCCTGTAGCAATTTTTTAATAAAAAACCAGCTAAAATAGCCTTTTATGAGGCAAGGCTGAGTGTTAATCCACTGGAAACGTGAGGTATTCTCATGTGCTTTTTGGAAGACTCAATTATTAGTCTTTAAATCACTTTACACGATCTCGGCTGACTTGGTTCATTGACAAAAACTGATGAAAGATTGGCCGAAAAGTGCCACTGCCTTGTTCATTCATCCAATGGTCACATCGATCTGTTAATTTTAAAAAGCTCACGCCAGACGAGCGATCGATGAGCCTCGAAAGGTGATTGGACCCGATTCAAAGATGAACGAATGACTCACCGACAACCGGCTAGCAGGGCTCGACGAACACTGCGAGTCAGTCGCGTCGAGAGGACACGATGGACGATGGTGGCTGGTCCAAGCGCAGGACTGACTGTGTCTTTAGCCGCCTGCAGGGCGGCAGGCTCAACTTGAGGCATAATTCGCGCTGAAGCTATGAAGTAGTGCGAAATCGGCTGTCTCAGACTGCCAGTTGACGCGCCCTCGACGTCTCTCCAGGACGTCTGCCACCCTGGTGTCGACAGATTCGGCGCTACAGACGAGGCTGATGGGACGATGGAAGGAGGCGACTGCAAAGCGCCGGCGCCTGAAATCAGGCGACGCACGAGCAGGCTGTACCAAGACGAGAGCAGGAAGCGATAGAAGCCCTGGACCGTGAACACACCTGGCAGAGGGTTGCGTGGGAGAAGATGCCAACCAATTTCAGAAGAGGAGAAGCCAAGTGATACACTTCACTAACGCCTCAATTTGTGTACAAGTCATAAACTCTCTCATTTTTCATATTCTATGCCGTAACGTGTGGATGTTAATCTAATTAAAGGTTTATTTTATTTGAATCCATTGTGGGGCTTTCATTTCGTATTGAATTCATCATCAAACAACATTTTTTTCTATAACAACTCCCCAAGAGATTAAGAGTGTATACGAAGAGTTTTAAAGGGTTTCGATGAATCTCGGGATAAAATTGTTGTGAAGACGTTCATTTTATGTGAAATTGTCTAACAAATCGATGTTTTGGTTGATCTCACCAGAAGACAACTGTTAATTTCCGTTTTTATGCAGCAGTTTAGCTTATTCTGAGCCATCCTCCCATGTCTAGGAAGAAAATCAACTGCTACCTGGTAGGTGGAAATTGTAGGAGCTGAAACTCTAGCTTAAGAAATTCAAGAGAACAATCTGACTCTATTACTCATTTATTTATAATGATATGTAAAAACGAAAAATCCCTTAATAAATTGATGCTTGCATACATTTTATTTGGTTTGAAAGAGCGGGTTAAAGGGGTTCGTAAATTGGCCTCATCTGGCAAAGAAGGAGGATCGTCTTGGACTTGCGACTGCTGGGGTGTGCGAAATAGCTCTCAGGTCACAGTCCTGCGACCACGATGAATCTGAACTGAAATTTAGTCCGTCATGAGACAGACGTCAGGGCCATAAAACATAATTTAAGAATAATTCAACATAAAAACTAAACCAAGAAATATTTCTTCCTCCTTGTTTCATGACTTGTAGATATAAACACTGGGTTTCGATAATGTCCTGAGCGAATGCCCGATTGACTATCATCTTGTGTGAAAATGTCAGATTAAGAGATTCTTGTGTCGATCTAACCGAAAGACGACAGTTGATTTTCCTTTATTTTCATCTGCTTGGCATTAATGTGAAACTAAAGTTGACGCAATCTATCAGACAAACAATCAAATGAATAATACATATGAAGAGTAACTAGTTCTCAGAATTATTTATCAGATTAATATTGCTGCTGTGAGGGCATCGAAGGAGGATTGCTGAAATGTGCGAAGAAGACCTCGGCTTACTGTCTTGTTACTCCAGTGAATCCATACCTATCTTTAGTCAGCCATGTGACAGCCATCGTGTAAGCCAGAAGCCATTATTTATGATAAAGTAACTAAACCGCCTAACCAAGAAATCAAACATTTAAAAAGTGGGAGGATTTCTTGTGGACTTCGTCAACCTGATCGCCGTTTTATCACTAAAAGGCTGCCTAAGAACGTGAGTCAACCGTCGCCTTTTGGTGAGATTTTCGTCAGGCATTTTCCACAACAATGTAGTCTCAAGAGATTCGTCGAAACCAACTTAGTATACCCTTTAAATTTCTTTTTTCTTTATTGGGAAAAATGTTCAAACTTTGATTTTATTTGATGAAATATTTATGGGCACTACATTTCCCAGGTTAGGTTACGTCCCTTATTAACTACTATGTATTGTGTATCGGAGGTAAAGTCTTTAAAGTCTGTCTTAGCCCGAGTATTATTAAATCAATTCTGATTGTCTTTTTCGGTATGCTGATAAAAACATTGGTTATTTTCCCGGAATATATTTGCTTAATTTTGCTAATTTGATAGTACATTTTTGTGCTTATTGGCAATATATTTGTAGCGCGTTTGATTTATTTTTAATGTGATGTCTTTCATATATGAAATAAGGCTAGGTATCAGCCGACTCCTTAATAATTAAACAAGCCTTACTTTTTATTTGGAAGGAAAAGTTGGTTGAAAGGGATCCTTGAATTGGCCCCACCAGTAAGCGAGGGAGGATTACCTTGGAAGAGTGGAGACTGTTGGATCGTGCGGAAAAGTTCTTGAATTACAGTCTTACTATCTCGATTAACCCATTTGGAGCCTTCGTCATTCATGCGATAAACATCAGCAAAGCTCAAAAATACGCTAAACGAAGAGAAAGGGAGGCTGGCTGCAAAGCTAATCACTTCTTATACCTAATTGTTTTCGGTCTTAATGAGGCATCGCATGATTTGTTCGTTACATCATGCTTAACCTACATGCTTGTATATGAGTGAGGTCGATGCATGAAAAGGAAGTGGATGTGGTAGTAACTGACCCCTTATGTAAATAAAACTGTGTATAATCCTGTTGTCGACGTGTGTCTAAGCATGTGGCTTTGTCTAGTATATGTATGCAAAATTAAACTCATGTGAAGTAGTAGTAGTCCTGACCAGACTTGAGGCCATTCCAGCCTCTTTTTGTAAGCGGTTCTTCGTGCCCACTCTATCTATTTTCTCCTTTAGCCTATCCAACAGCCACATATAGTTTGCTCTCAATTTCATATTAAGGATGTTGGCAGAGTTGTTCATTTCTATACTCTCCCAAGTCTTAAGCTTGCATGTGAAGTTCCCATAATCACCAAGATGCTGCGTTTTGGGTTAATTTATTGCTTGTCTTTGTAAGACTAGAGACTGTTGGATCTAGCGGATAACTTCCTGGCTCACCGTCCTGTGTCCCCGATTAACCCGTGCAGACCTTTTGTTAGTCATATGACAAGCATAGGCAAGGCACAAGGCTTATGTTCAGTGAACTAAGATATTTTGACCCATAGATTTTTACAGACGGTTTTGTGTTCAGATAAGCCCTTCAAGATGGATTCGCATCTCTCTCCACTTAAATATTACTACATGAGTACAAAACACTGCAACGTCCTGACCTAGAAAAAGGGTCCGAAATTTGCTGAGAAGATGAGTGTTGGTCTATCCCTGTAACTTGTTCTCATATTACACTTGTTAAATTAAGTATAATAAATGCAGTATATTGTTGCGGTTTTACAATGAATATGTTCTCTTACTGACGATGTTTATCAACCCACTCACGAAAGCTCAGCACGGGTTCATTGGGGTTAAAGAAATGTGAGCCAAGGACTTCTTTCCACAATAAAACAGTCTTTATTCGAAGCTATTCTTCAATCTTTCGGTTCCACAAGGGGCCACTTCGGGAAGTCCTGCAAGTCAACTTTATCTATAAGGTGAAATGTTGAGCCACTCTATGCATACATCACGTGCTGGGCATCAATTATTTATACTTTGGCAATTTAATTGTTATGATGAGAGTGATTTATTACTTTTATATGATTCATTTGTTCTTTGTGGTTTTTATTGCAGTATTCTTCGCATATTAACTTGCGTTGCTTAGTAGGTAATTGATATAAATCCTGTATACTTTGTTTCGAAGTGATATATTTCCGTAATTTTTTTCTTTCCCATTCTGTCCTAGTAGATGTGCTATTTTGACTATTTCATTTAAAGTAGTTTTTTTAATTTTTATAAAGTGAATATTTTTTGGGCTTTTGTTGAAACATGTGTAGCGTGTTACCATTTTTCTTACTAGAATATGTTTTTTGGAGTTTATACTTCTCATAGTCTACCCTCACATGAATGTTTTGTATTATATTTTGTCCCAATTTTCCGGATTAATATGAGTGAACTTGTATACTGGTGATTTTGCTGTGTCTTCGGTTTGAGCTTCTTTTGAAGTATGTTTTTATTAAGTAAATAATTTGCTCGAGGTTAATTGTTTTTAATGTGTTTAGATGAAATTTCTCCATTTTAGTGCTGGTTTGACTTGTTTTCACAACATGGTCGGGGCAACAGGGAGACTTTGTGGAATCTACCTAGTCCTGAGCCCCCGCCATAGTATTTATGATTTCCAGCATCGGACCGTTGACTCGGCACATTACATTATATGTTAATTGTGATATGTATATTGCTATGTTACTTGCATTTATCAGTAGCTTATTGGGATTATAAGGATAGCTTTCTATTAGACTAGCGATGTTACAGTAAGTTATTTCCTATTTTTGTTGGTGTTTTCTTTAATATACTTTTTATTAAAGCATATTTCTCATATTTTGTTATTTTTCTCTGTCTGTTACCATGCCTTGTAAGTTATGCTGTTTTTATTTTCTGTTGAGGCGATAGTTGTATGGATTAATAGGTTAGTGTATCAATAACGTGATTTTATATGCTTTCCACGTACTTTTCATGAAGCTTCTTAATGAGCAGTTTTTCTGAAGTAACGTCGCAACGTATGCTGTTTTCCTTAATAATTAATCGTTATCACGTGTTGGAGGTCATGCTTTTCTAGTCTGTTTTGAGGTAAATTTTTTCAATTCCAGCTCGCTTGTTCCTTTTGGTGTCTTGCTTGGGGGAGTTGGCTAATGTTTGTCCATTATTGATGTATCTGTGGCATGCTATGTGGTTTTACTTAGTTATTGATATGTATTGCTGTAATGTAGTATCTTTCCATTCTATTTTCGTTGTAGTATTCAGTGACTTGCATAGATTGATAGGTTGTTTTGCTATTCAATTGATGATTTTTTACTATTTTAATGGAAATCATTTCTGTAATCTTTAAAATATATTTATTTTTGGATGCTGATCCTTTCGTCACAGAGGACACTGATAAGAGTGCCACCATATTTTTTGTTTGGCTGTCTTGAAGTTATCTTTAGCATCACGGCGTGGACAGGTAAAATTGAATGATCACATTCCATCAGTTTACAGCCATCGGTAAGAACGCCACCATGGCTAATGTTGGCTAGGATGGCGAAGCTTTCGCTGTGAGTACTCGGTCAGTGAGCTGCTGCGGAAGGAGCACACGAAGCCTCTGGCAAAGGCCACATACTAAGAGGATGATGATAGCAATAATAATAATAATAATGATGATTATAACAATAATAATAACACAAGCGTCCTTAGTGTAATCCTCTCATTTTTTTCTGTTTCCCTCTCTTTGTTCTTAATTTTCTTC